TATATATATATATATATATAATGTAATAGATCAATGTTTATTTTAGGGTTTATTAAATTGGTCTTCTGAAGTATTGATATAATTAAAAATTATTCTATAATCTTAATATAATGCAATAAAAGTAACATTTATATGATGAAAATTTTTCTTTTAGAGCAACGCATGTTCCAGTCGGGCAAGATCAAGCTCAACATATTCAATTGGCACAAGACTTAGTACAGATTTTTAACAGGGAGTTCGGACAAACCTTTCCGGTACCACATACTCTTATTAGTGGCAAGTTTTTAAACCAGTATTTTATCTTATCAATTTTAATTTTGAAAACATTTCCAATAACAATTAAAATTTATATACTTTAAGATGGTCCGAGCCAGAGAATCAAGTCTCTACGTGATCCCACGAAAAAAATGTCAAAATCACACACAAATTCTAAGTCCAGGTTAAATCTCTTGGATGAACCAGACATACTGTTAGAGAAAGTGAAAAAAGCTGTGACTGATTTTACATCCGAAGTGACTTATGACCCAGAAAAACGGCCAGGAATAGCTAATTTAATTAATATACACTCTTTGTTCACTGGGCAGACGCCGGAGGAAATATGTGAGGAAGCTGTAGATTTAAATACAGGACAGTAAGTACTTAACAAGCATCATATCTTATTTTTAAAAATAGTTTTAAAAAAATATAGTTTTAAAAAAGTCACTTTTTTCAAATTGCTGGAAAAAAACCGGAAAAATTTCGATTTTTCCGAAAAATTGCTGTTTTTGCTATGTAAAAGACATAATAAGTAACTTCTAAGTTCCTTTATAAAATTAATGCGATCTATGAAATTATGTAGCATTATTTTTATTAAAATTTTTTAGTTATCCTTCCATTTTTATAGTAAAACCTAATCTAATCTTTCTTTAGTATATGGCAAAGCTTAAGTAGACAAATTTTTAACTCTAGCACATGTGAATTTTTTCAAAATGAATTTTTCTACCCTTGGGAAAAAAACTGAAAAAATCCATGGAAAAATTGGGTTTTTTCCAATCCTTTAAAACTATATTTTTAAATATATATATAGAAAAATATATATATATAAATGATTACTTTTGGAAACTTTCATAAATAAGTTCAATGAATATTATTATGGCTTACTTTGATTTTTTATAGATATAAATTGAAATTAGCGGATATAGTGATAGAAAAATTATCCCCAATTCGTAAAGATATATTAAGATTAACCAGAGAACCTGCCTATTTGGATGAGGTTTTGAAAGAAGGTGCAGAAAGGGCCACGGAACTTGCAACAAGCTGTTGGATGGAAGTTACAGAAAAGGTTTTTGGTAACGATATACAGGATGTGAAAAATATAACAAAAACTGTAGAAATTATGTAAAATAATTATATTTATTGTTATTAAATCGTAATTATAACAAATATATTAATTTTATATAGATATTGATATATTTAATTTAATTTACTATCTCATGTCAATGACTAGTTTGCCTCTTAAGTGTCCTTGCCTCATTCTCTCGTATGCCTGTGGCAAATCTTGAAAAGAATATACCTGTTGAACGACAGGTACGATCTGCGAACCACAGAATAGAAAATACAAATTAAAGAATTTTTAGTACAATAAAACTCAGGAATTTCTGAACATACCTCTTCGTTTTCTACAAGCTTTTGGAGAACGTTAATTCCTGTTTGGGAAGGTATAAAAAATCCCCACTTAACACAACTTTTATTTTCTGCCTTTGGAATATTAAATTTTAGAAGATCTCCGAGATTTTTCACCATTCCCATAATTAGCCCATGATGATCAAAATTGTTTAACAGTGGCGAGTTTAATGCTATGTAAGTATCGTGTGGATATCCTTTCATTCTGACATATTCTGGCCCCATTTTGGCACAGTCTAATATTATGTCATATCTGCAAATATGATAGTTGTACACATAATGCTCATTTTAATAAATAAAATTTTGGTATAATAGTCAATTGTAGAAGAATAAAAGTGTGTTCTTATAAAATATATTCTTTCTTTTTTTCTTTATATTTCCGTTCTTTTTCTGTAAATAATTCCAATCTAAAAATGACAATTTTTAGTTATAGCAAACGAACAATATATTGCATTTATTACACACATTGCATTTCAATTTATATACAAAGTCACTTACGGTCCTTCCGAAATAATTTCTGCATCGGCACCGTCTTTCTTATAATCAATGACAACATCAGTATCTAAATTCTGTAGCATCTCTACAGCGTCACTACTGCATGTGCTAATTACCTAAACAAATTTAATGCTTTATATCCTGCAGACTTCAATATATATGATTAAATATTTACATGCATATCCCAAGCTTTCAGTAGCTGTATAGCTAAAGTGCCGACTCCTCCCGAGCCTCCAATGACCAGGACAGGTTTGTTCCTCTTCACAGCTATCGCCGTTTTGTAAAATAGCCCTCCTGTGATCCATAGTGCAGACCAAGCAGTCAGTCCAGCGTACAAGATACTTGCAGCTTCAATATAAGACAGTTTCCGAGGACGTGGATTTACCTTACAAGAAAAATAATTATCGTGATGATCGCAAGTCATATATTGGCTTATCAAATATTTAATATATTAAAACTGAAACATGTCTTACCAAACTACTGTCAATAATAACATAATTTGCATGACAACCCTGTTGTTCAACTGGAATCACTCCCCAAACTTCCTTGCCAATCTCAAGTCTATCTCCTACATTGTATCCTTTTGATACAACTATCCCTGTGAAGTCTCTACCTAATGTCAATGGCAAATCCAATTCTCCCAATGTTCTAAAGGACAAACTCTTGGTTTTGCGTAGGACATTTAGGAAAGTATTACCATAGCCATCTACAACAAAGTTTACCTTTTTTATTGTAATTCTTAGACTGTGGCTATAATTCATGCTCTTAGAATTCTTGTTATTTATCAAAGTTAAATAAGGACAATTGATGCTAGTATATTATTATCAATATTGAAACTAGCAATTAGAGTTACAGGCAGTAACATTTGATATTCAATTATATATGTCATTTCACATTTTGCATGCTACTTTCAAGATTGAAGATACATGTACAATGGAGCAGCAATAGAATACCCGTCATCGCAACATCGATGGGATTTACGCTAGCGGCTTCGATCTTCACCAGGACGTCAGTGGGATTCGTTATCACTGGCATCCTAACGTTAGAGAGTCGCAGATCCTCCAGGCCGTTATACGAATGTATCTGCCAAGCTTGCATCCTGTCCAGATTCTCCTTTAAGTTGGTTGACAGCTTCGACAAAGAGCGAAGGTGCACCGTTCGAAGGGTGCACTTTAATCTTAAAATCGCCTTCTGCAGCATCTCTTTCACGAGGACGATACTGTACTGTACCAAACATTGCAGGTTAGGAATTCATTTGTAATCACAAGAGGTTTGTTCGCGTCGCATGCTCCAACATGTTCCAATATGCTCCTACCATAGCTTCTACTTACTCCAACACGCTTGATAGAGTGAGTAGGAGCTATGGTAGGAACATGTTGGAGATTGCAACGCGAACAAACTTTTAATGTCTTGTCTCACCTGTCTTCTTCCACATGAATGTCGCTAAAGCCACTGGATTTATAAAATACCGCAAACCCCCATCCATTTTGACGCGAAACGCGGCCATTTCGAATTTATGCATTTCTTACACGCACTTTATTTGTGAAAATGAGGCCATCAAATATGTAAATCAATGTTTTTTAATTGTAATTAGTTTACTTATAAACAAAAAAAAAATATGTACGAATGATTAATTTATGTATTCTTTAGTTTAATACGGGTTTATTTGTCGTAGGAGTTTAGTGCACGAAGTGGACGAAAGAACATGTAAGTACAGTTTAAAAAATGAACCACCAACCAACATGTTTGAAATCGTGTACTGTGGTCTCTTCGACCATTTTATCGCGATATTTCTGAAATCAATTGCGGTACTTTAAAAATCGAGTAACTTTAATTGACCTTTCCGGTAAGACTGAAACGTCTTCCGGCTCATGTCTCCACTTTGCCTAGAAACACTGTAGACCAAGCCAAGTTTGCTAGCGGTGTCAAGATTTTTTTATATATTAAAATTTTTTCTGAGGGTGATGATGATGATGTATCTTAAAAATTTAACATTTCGCATTTCACATCGCGATATTTCCGTTAGTAAATATCAAATATACGTAGAAAGTAAAAATACTTTTATTACATAATTTAAACCCAAGTTGTTGATTGAGTTTACTCAGAAGGTGATCAATTCAGCCATTTATCGAGAGATCCGACAATCTCGAGTACTCGCAACTCGCCGACTCTCGTAAAGACACAGGGCGGTTTCGCGCTACACTTGGTGTACGAAATACTATCATATCTCTTGATATTTGACATTATCTCTTGACATTAGCATATTAACATATTTAGCATATTAATTTCAAATTTATTGTTTTTTTAAAAGTATTAATTATAATTAATTATCATTAAAGTTATACATTTAATTTGTATCATATGTTTATTTCTAGTGCAACAATACCGCGAAAAACATTAAATGCTTATTTGTAAGTTACATTTCTTAAATTAAAATAGAAAAATAAATAATAGCCCAATTGCAATGTAAAAACAAATCAAATTTTAAAATTTCTGGTAATTCATAAAATATTATTAAACTAATTTTTTTCAAAAACGTTTAGTGCTGATATAGATAAGAAATAAACGAAAGAAAAGTTAAATAAATAAATTATATGCTGTAATAAGATGTTATGTATTTCTGATTAATTATGGATTAAATATATAAAAATTATTTTCTTAATATCATCTTCTTAATTAAAATGCGTTCATGTTGCGTTAATCATTACATTCTAATTATACATCAACTTTGGAACAAATACGAATACATTAATTCAAATTTCAAACAAAATTTTATAAATACATTACAATTAATTTTAGTAAGTTAAAAGAATACTTCTCAAAACAAGATAGTAATTAATTTTACATAAAATAAAAATTACGCACATTTAAAGTTATAAATAAATGAATCAAATTTTAACAATAAAGTACTGATACTTGAATTATCCAAATAATTTATTTGCATAATTTAAGTATCATTTATTGAACAGCTGAATAATCCGACAATAATTACTTTGAATAATTTCAGCTAAATATAATTTCAGGATATTATCCGCAATATCATGATATTTACATCTTTAATATGTATATATATATACATATACGTATTATATCTTCCCGGAAAAAAATGTTTCATATGTAATTATATTATATATTCTTCATCAGGGCGAGGAGCAGCCTGAGTATCACGCAAGATTGTCACACAGGTAACACCCGTGAAAGCCTCAAGAATATTATATATAATAACATTTTTTCCCGAGTTTACATCCGCATAGATTACATAAGAGGTCATACAAAATATAAAAATGAATTGATATACAGGGTGTTTCCAAATTAAATGGCAAAACTTCGGGAGCGTGTAGAGGAGTAAAAAACTAAGAAAAAAAGTCCTATAGACATATGCTCGTTTT